GCCAGACACGTCCAGGACACCCCAGGAGCCGGGTGCGGGCATCTGCAGGCTGCAGCCGGGAATCAGGGGCCCCAAGTGTCCAGAGCCAGCGGCCCGGGGCCCCCCGCGGGAGCCCCCCAGGGAACAGCGTGTCGGGTCCCCACAAGCCTGTGAGTGAGCCTACCTCGTCCCCATGGCGTCTGCTGTCCTGGGGCCGCCGCTGGGGCCGCTCCGGCCAAGGAGCCCTGACCAAGGGCTGGGAATGCCACAGCTGCTGGCCGCCCGTGCCCAGCGGCGTCCGGCCGGGCGACGAGGGTGTGGGAGGGGAGCCGCGATCGAGCGAGCCCCGTTCCTGCGGCGGAGGTGGGCACCTCTGGCTGGAGCGCTCGCACCGTGCTTGCGCGCGCGCGCGCTCCGGTCTGGGTCCGTCTCAGCTCCGCCGCCCGGGGGCACCCGGCTGGGCTAGGCTGGGCTGGGCGGGGCCGGGCTGGGGAGGAGCCAGGCGGGCAGCCAGGCGGGCGCGCGGGCGGAGACTAGAACCCCGATGGGCGTCTGGGGGGCGGGGCGGGGCGGGGCGGCGGGATTCGAATCCGCCCACGTCACGAGGGCCCCGCCCCCTCCCCTGGGCCGGGGCTGCGAGGCAGGACCCGGGGACCCGCCCACCTCCAGGCCTTTGCAATCGGCCGTGAGTGGTGCGAACTGCCGGGCCCCATTGGAAACAATGTTTCCCTTCCCGAGGGGGATGAGCGGGAAACCTTATTTCTCTTCTCTTGGCCGGGAGTCGAAACCGGCGCCCAAGCCCCTTGTGGTTTAGGAAAGCGACTCGAAGACCCGTATTCCGTAAGAGGTTTTGGAAGCGGCCCGCGGTGGGAGGCTTCTGGGCGTCCGGGCGCCCGCGGGCAAGTCGCTGCCCATCTCTGGACTTCAGTTTCTCCGAGGGCAGAATGATCTGCTTTCTTGAGAAGAACAGGGGCTCTGAAAGCGGCTGGGGGGGACTGAGGGTCAAAGCCCAGCTCCGGCCCTTACTGTGCCATGATCGGGACAGAACCGTCGAGGCTTGCTTTCTTAACATCTAAGGTGACTGACACTGAGTGGCCATCAAGGCCTCTTCGAGTTCTGCATTCAACATATTATGTAACGTCCTGCCCGGCTCTGAAGCCCAATCGGACGGCTTCTGATCGGCCGCAGGGCCCAGAGCTCGGAGCAGTTGGAAGTTGCTACAGCCAGGTTAGGCTTTAGGTGCAGAGGGGAGACATTCTGCCCAGGGAGGTCCGAAGGCTTCCAGCCAAGGCTGAAGGACCCCTGGCAGTGTATATCGTAGGGGGATTCTGTCCTGGGCTCGGTTAGACCACATGGCTGCTCAGCATCTTTGCAACCCTAAAATCCAGTGAGGCTGTCATGCATGTGGCCTTCGTTTAACAGCCTTGGCTTCATCCCACAGAGATTTTCCATTCTTCTCCCCTACGAGTGCCTGCCACAAATACCAAACAGATTTTGTGAGGAGTTTGTGCAACCAGCAGGCAAAAGAATGAGAATACTTTCTTCTGAAAATCCCGATTGTATAAATATGGAGTCGCTAATAATCGCTTGGGGACTACAGGGGATGAGGGGGTGGGATAGGGGCCACCTGTGACTTCTGCTGAGTCAACATGCACGTTGTACCAGGACTGAGCTAAGGACATAAGGACAAAAACGACAGCAGCCCCCAGTCTCTAAGAGTCTACAGTCAAGCTGACAATGCATTTCCTCTCTCTGAACTTCAGTTTACACCTGTCAAAGAAGGAGAGTGCATTAAATGATTCCAGGGGTGACTGAGACGTTCTGGGGCTCTGGCCTCCTGTATCCTGGTGGAGCTCAGAAGTCAGTGACTGAAATTTTGGGACATTCTCTTAATATTTCTCCAGCCTTCCCTCAATCGTTTGGTCCGAATAATAAAATAAGTCTGCACGACAATCCTAGCGCATTCCTTCATCGTGCTAGTCCAGTCATGGAATTTGAGAGCTGGAGAGAGCCTTGCTTGAGGATAGGGCATTCTTCCCCACTCTCCTCACTTGAGAGATGAGGTTGGCAAGAAGAAAAAAATCTACCCATAACCACAGAAAGAATAAAGAGCCAATAGTCTAGAATTCAGGTCTGGACTCCCGATTTCTGACTGGGCTCTCTTTCCACTACCCAAAACGAAAATCTGACCAAAAAAATCGATGCCACGGAAATACCAGGGAGGGGAGTTGGTGAGCTTCGACTCCCTGATTCATGTTCGCAGAGAAGTCTCCGGTTATAAAATGCTGTAGAAATCACTGTAATATACTATAATAGCATGATAGTTATCTATAAAATATATTACACAGAGAAAACCCAAATGAAATGAGATTATAAGGAAAGCTCAAATGGCATCCTTGGAGCAGGACTGGATTCAAGGGCATTTGTTGCTAGCTATAAAATAACACCCACCAAAAAAAAAAAAAAGCATCCCTCTTAAGAAGTGGAATCAATAACCAGCCAAATACCTGTTTCAGAAGCAGTTATAAAAACTATAACCAAAAGAGCTCTTAGTGAAAGGAGGCATAAAAAGAACCCTGGCAGGCAGGTGGGCATAGAGAGGCAGGTGGGCATGGTGGAGGCAGGTGGGGTCTCTCCCCATGCAATCCATACTCATTGAGAGTGAATTAACTATTGGCCTGAGGGGAGATTTCCAATATAATAAGCCTGATTCTTCCTGGGTCTTCTGACAAGTCTGGTCATTTGCCTCCCTGGAGGCCCACCTGGCTTTTTGTAATTGATTGCTAGGTTTTTTCATTGGGAAATAAAAGCAGGAAGAATAAAAGGGAGCTGGGCTTTGTTCTGATGCTTATTTTCTCCCCTGGCCTAAGACCACAGGGTCTCATTTCACTCATTGCACAAAACTGCTTTCGAGTAGGTGGGAAAGTCATCAAAAACATCTGATTCTCGGCCCTCTAAGGACTTCCAGTCCAACAGCTGGAGGTGAGGCCGGTAGCCAAATCATTATAATCCTAAACAGATTGGAAAATACTATAAGTGGCTTTCTACTTCAGAGAACAGGAATCAGATCAGCATTATTTTTATCATCCCCACTCTATTTCTCAATAACTTCCCCTCTCTGCCCATCACTGCCCTTTGGGCCAGTCAGACAACAAATATTTCCCGAGTTCCTGCTATCTGTCTGACACCGTGTGAAGCCTCACTGTGTGTGAATACCCACAGACAGGCCGAAATAGCCCCTGCCCTCAGGAGCTTACATTCCGGTGGGGAAGGCAACCTTTAAATAAATTGGCTCATGCAAGATACGCAAGAAGTAAATGAACATTCACCTTTTTTGAATTGCTATCCCCGGCACTTTAGCACAGGGCTTGACACATAGCAAGGAATTAATAAATGTTTTTCATTCATTTATTTATTCATTGATTCCAGAAAGGTGCAGACCAAGTGCCCTGGGGGTGCAGGAGGGAAAAGGATTCTCCTGGTTGGGGGCACCAAGTGGAGTTCCCGAGAGGGAATGAACGTTCAAATGAACAATCACTTATTAAGTGTTTACTACCAGCCAGGTATTGTGCTGGGCACTGGAGATACCAACTGTGTAGCAGCTTTTGTCCTCAAAGAGCTTACTTTCTACTGGGAGAGCATGCTGTGTGCCAAGATAGGTAAATATATAGAAATGTTATTTGTAAGCTGCTTGGGAACAAGACTTCTTTATTTGGTCTTTGGATGCCGAACACATAGCCCATAGTAGGGCCTTCATAAATATACATTGAGGGGCAGCTAGGTGGTGCAGTGAATAGAGCACTGGCCCTGGAGTCAGGACCGAAGTTCAAATCTAGCCTCAGACACATAATATTCACTAGCTGTGTGACTCTGGGCAAGTCACTTAACCCCAATTGCCTCACAAAATGAACAAACAAACAAACAAACAAACAAATAAATAAATAGATGCACATTGAATGAATTAAATGAAAGAATATGGTGGGTAAGGAGCACCAACAATTGGGAGAACAGGGAGGGCCAGGAAAAGCCTCATAGAGGAGGCTCCTGGAGTGGAGCTTGGAAGGCATCCAGGGAGTCTGGTAAGCACAAGTAAAGCTGGAAGGCATTCTGGGTGGTGCCAAGCCCAGAGATGGAATAACCAGTCCGGAGAAGAGCAAGATGGCCTCTTTGGCTGGTCCAGAGAATGTGTGTGGAGGGGTCATGTGGGGAAGCAGAGATAATTGGGTCATAGGATCACGGGGTTTAGGGTGGGAAGGGACTTCAGGCCATCTAGTCCAACTTCATCTTGCAGATGAGAAAGAATCTCAGTCCAAGGGAGGTGAAGGAATTTGACTCATTGGCAGGCCTGCCTTCTCCCCTTATACCCAAGGGCCTTTCCAAAGGACAGCTGCCTCTGCTATGAAAACCCTTAACGACTGACATTCCCAAGCGCTCATCACTCCATTTACTGATAGGTTCCCCACACTTCAAGACTGGCCCATCCTCCATATGGCAGACAGATGGTTTCTAAAGCAGGTCTGACCGTGCCATTCCCCTGCTCAGGAAGTGTCTGGGGCTCTCTATTACCTCTAGGACAAATGCAACCTCCTTTTTGGGGCAGTTGAAGCCCTTCATGATCTGGCCCCTACCTATTCAAGAGGTAGGTAGCTTATTGAAATGGGAAGAATGCTGGAGTTGGTGACAGACACCGGGGGTTGCAATCTTGCCTCCCCTGGACATTTCTGACCATGTGTTGTAACCCTGTGCGATTTTGGACAAATTCCTTCACCTCCCTTGGACTGAGATTCTCATCTGTAAGATGAAGTTGGACTGTCCCTTCCCATCCTAAACCCCCTGATCCTATGGCCCAATTATCCTTGCTTCCCCACATGTCCCCTCCACACCCATTCTCTGGACCAGCCAAAGAGGCCATCTTGCTGTTCTCCTGACTGGTTATTCCATCTCTGGGCTCGGCACCACTCAGAAGGAAGGAATCTGACCTCCAAGCCCATCCCTGTTGATCTCCCAGGCTGAAATGGGCTTCCTCTCCCTGTCTCCAGCTTTTGGAATCCACTGTGCCCTTCAAGGCTTGACTCACACTTCCCCTCCAGAGGCTTGTTAGTGATGCTTTACCCTGGGATTACTTTGCAGCCGTTTGGGGTCTATTTTGAACTTAACAATCTGCACTTGTTGTTCCAGGGCCAGGGCTGTTTGGGCTGTAAATGAACGTGGAAAAGAGAAGACAGTGTGGAGTCTTCCTCTTGGATTTTGTTTGGGGGG